GAAAGAAAGGAGGGAGGGAAGGAGAAAGGGAGGGACAGGGGGGGGGAGGGGGGAGAGGAGAGTGGAGGAAGGCAGGGAGGGAGGGGTGAAGAGAGGTAGGGAAGGGAGGGAGGAAGTGAAGAAGGGCGGGAGTCAGGAAGGGTGAAGAAGGGAGGGAGGCAGGAAGGGAGGGAGGGGAGGGGAGAAGGGGGAAGAAGGAAGGGAGGGAGGGAGGAAAAATCACAAAATGTTGACTTGATAAAATCTGCTGAGAATTAGAAGGCTCAATATTTTAGACATGAATGATATGATAAAACATATACATACTTTTAAAATTATACAAGAAAATGTGCAAGTAGCTTCAGATTTTTAAAAAACCAACAAACTAAAACCAAACTGTATTACAACAGAGCAAAAAGACTAATCTAATACATAAATAATTTTAGCCAACCTTTAAAACTTTTTTTGGAACCTCTGGCAGAAGTTCCTGAAGTTGATCAAAGCTTGCAAGAAACAACCTGTCCACCGAAAATCCCTTCTTTAACATAAATTGAGCAACCAGAGGGTTGATACATGGAAAAGCAAGTAGGCATTTCTCTGTCTGGAAATGGAGATTATTTTGTTAGATTGGTATCTGACAAACTTCCCCTCCCCCCCCCTTTTTTTTTTTTTTTTATTTCATAGAAACAGTTTTCAAACACTATATTTTTACAGCCCCAGGAAAACTTTTGTGGGGTTGTTTTTTTTTTTAAACCACAGATGTAACAGTGTATTTTTGCAAACTAGTAAATCCTACAAACAGTTTAATGAAAAGCAAGCATAGTCTAAAGATGTGTCACTGTTTCTGTTCTAAAAGATGAAACCAATAAATAAAGTAAACCTGATTTGCAAATGCATTACCACCTTTACAGTTTATTCTCCATTTTAAAGAGAACTACCTAAGTCTAGATAAACTAACAAAGCTGTTCTTGCTTTACAAAAGATACATTTTTAAACAGCAATGAGACAGGTGCCTGAAGCAGGATTTGTAAGGTGGAGGTTGAATGTCACACAGAGGGCACAAGTTGAGAGCTGCAGCATTTTAAGAATGTTAGCTTCCAGTTCTGACTTCAGTAAAGCTCTGCAGTCAGCTGATGCCAGGATTTAATAACTTAAACAGAGAAAAAACACAGTCAGTGACTCCTCTCACTGTTTTACCAGCACCCTTAATCTCCATGTTGGAAAACCTGTGATCAGATATGCCAGACTTGAAAGGCCACACCAATACCTGCTTTAAAATGCTTCTGGATTTTGCAAAAGCAAAAAAGGATCTCAGCTTTACAAGAGTTTAAAGCTTCCACATTAAATTAACAAATACTTATGTTTAATTTTAAAACTTGCTTTAAAAGCAAGTTAAAGAATATAGTATCTTTGACTGTGGTTGATGGACCTGTTGCAGCATTTATTGTAAATATCCAGTATCAACTACCACATGAGAAGTTAAACAAATTTCTACTATCTTGTATTAAAGTAAGTCTGTAAGCAACACCATAGGCTTCAGTAATGCATCAACACTGATGAAACTGGCTTGCTGCTCAAGTGAACCATTTCATGTTTATCTTCTGCAATATGGATATTTTTTTTAAACTTAATGAATGCTTAGGACTGTAGAACTGTACGCATTGACCAGCAGATGTGGAGGACAAACTTACCTACTTGTTAATTGTAAAAACATGCAGAAAGTTCAAGTTGCATATAATTGTGCTGGCAATGATGATGGAAGCATTATATATGTGTGTGTGTGTGTGTATATGGATATAAATACATGCATATATACATAAATACGTGTGTTAGTATATGTATTTGAAATCATGTTAATTTATATCACGTATTTTAAAAGAACAACAAAAAAAGCTTAGAACTTTGTGAGTCTAGGAAACCAGAAGAAAACTGTAATTTAAGGGAAAGATAAGCAAACCTCAGATGGCAAGACAGAAAGCCAGGATTTGTCCAGCCATTCATGAGGACTGGAATTAGATGCTATCAAAATGTTGTCAGTAATCTGACGGATTACCAGTGCTGTCTCTTCAATCCCTGGCACAAGAACTACCTGAAAGTGATACATAAAAGTTTTGGTTAAAATTTATACTAAGGAATGTCTTAATTTGCTACAGTAGTTAAATGGGAAAGCTTAAAGGTGACCCTGAACATCACAGCTGGTAACGTGGACTAATTAAATCTGACCCATCCTTATCATGAGCAGAAACTCCAACCTCTGACCACCAGCCTGGTCGCAAATTATACTCTGTATTTATGCAAATTCTATGTAGGTGAAATTAGTTTATCCTATAGGTGTTTTACATGTGATCAAGTTTATGGGTATAATATGAGTTCCTAACAAATCAGGTAATTCTGAAATGCCTAATGCACTTTAAGAAGATGTGTAACACAAAGGAGGTGCAGGTAGTTTCCACATGAACTACACTGCTGAATACACAGAGTGAAAAAAGCTTTGTCCTCTCTTCAACCTTCATTTAACCAGATAAATTAGAAACAAATTTTAATATACAAATAAATAACAAATTGTCTAAAAATATGTTACTTCATTTAAAAAGTTACAGAATTCAACTTGGTAGGCTGAGTGAAACTTTTGCCCCATTTTCTAACATTGATTATGCCAGATACTGCATTTTCTGATTTAAAATGAAAAAAAATTAATTCATCTTGCCACATGAAAAATGAGATAGATAACAGGTTCAGGACCATCTAAAGAAACTGAATGTGCTCAGTCTATGGGACCTGATGGGGCCCATAGGACCTGATGGGTCCTGGTGCATGCAGTTGCTAAACCTCTGTCCATTCTATTTGAGAGGCCATGGCAGTCTGGTGAGGTTCCTGCCAGTTGGAAAAAAGGGAACATAGCCCCTGTTGTTAAAAAGGGGAAAAAGGAAGACCCAGGGAACTACAGGCTGGTCAGTCTCACCTCTGTGCTCAGCAAGATCGTGGAGCAGATCCTCCTGGAAAGTCTGCTAAGGCACATGGAAAATAAAGAGGTGACTGGTGACAGCCAGCATGGCTTCACTGAGGGCAAGTCATGCCTGACCAATCTGGTGGCCTTCTACAACAAGGCTACAGAGATGGTGGGTGGTGGCAGAGCAACTGATGTCATCTACCTGGAATTGTGCAAGGTGTTTGACACTGTCCCACATGACATCCTGGTCTCCAAACTGACAAGGCATTTGACAGATGGGCCACTCTGTGGATAAGAGATTGGCTGGATGGCCACAGCCAGAGAGTTGTGGACAATGGCTCAATGTCCAAATGGAGGCAGGTGACAAGTGGTGTCCCTCAGGGGTCAGTGTTGGGACCAGTGCTGTTTAACAACTTTGTTGGAGGCACGGACAGTGGAATTGAGTGTATCCTCAGCATGTTTGCAGATGATACCAAGCTGTGTGGTGTGGTTGACACCCAGGAGGGAAGGGCTGACATCCAGAGGGACCTTGACAGGCTGGAGAGTAGGGCCAGTGCCAACCTCATGAAATTCAAAAAGGCCAAGTGCAGGGTTCTGCACCTGGGTCAGCACAACCCTAGGCACAAATACAGGCTGGAGTGAGAATGTCTAGAGAGCAGTGCTAAGGAGAAGGACTTGGCAGTGGTAGGAGATGAGAAGTTTGACATGAGCCATCAGTGTGAGCTGGAGCCCAGAGAGCCAGTTTTGTCCTGGGCTGCATCAAAGAAGTGTGGCCAGCAGGGCCAGGGAGGGGATTCTGCCCCTCTACTCTGCTCTGGTCAGACCCCGCCTGGAATACTGGGTACAGTTCTTGTGCCCTCAGCACAAGAAAGACATGGAGCTGTTGTAGAGGGTTCACAGAAGAGACATGAAGGTGATCAAAGGGCTGAAGCACCTCTCCTATGAAGACAGGCTGAGAGAGTTGGGGCTGTACAGCCTGGAGAAGAGGAGGCTCCAGGGTGAAAAAATTCTTCACCATAAGGGTAGTAAGGCAGTGGAATAGGTTGTCCATGGAAATTGTGGAAGTCCCTTCCCTAGAGGTGTTCAAGGCCAGGTTGGATGAGGCTTTGAGCAGCCTGGTCTAGTGTGAGGTGTCCCTGGTCATAGCAGGGGGGTTGGAACCTGATGATCTTTAAGGTCCCTTCCACCGTTTACATTCTATGATTCTTTTATTCTATGACTGAGAAAAACATGCTTGCTTGCTTTCTACTACATTATTAACCTAATATTAATCTGAATCGGACTCAGCTTCTATTGGAGTCTACACAGTCTTTTCTCTGACTTCAGCAGCCCTGAATTAAGTTCCCCTCTCTTATTTTAGCAATTTTGAGCTGTATAAGTTTTGACGTAGAATGCTTACTTGATTATGCATTTCAGAAATACATCACAGTAAAGATTAAAACAGATGGTTTGTTGAAAAAAAAAATTTACCTTTACTTCAAAGTCATCTGACTTCTGTGTAAGTTCAATTAGAGTGGCATAAATTAACACAAGGTTAAGCAGAGTATCTCCCTTGAGACTGTATCTATAAAACAGTTTATTTGGATTGGTTAATATGCACATGTAATAACTCCAATAATTCAATTTTTGTAACAAATGTCAGTTTAATTTACTGGAATTCAGAATACTAGTACAGTTTGAGCATTAATATCTGTGAAAGGAGAAGCAGGACACAGTAAGTGATTGAGTGCTGCAGGATGTACTGTGAGGAAGAAAATGGAGTCAGCCCTCAGCAAAGCAAAAGGACTGAAGCAAAAGGACCAGATCAGGGTGAGTCACCGGAGAAAAATTATACAGAGAGGAAAAGTGATGCACGGAAAATTCACCACTTGCTCATAGAAAAAATATGTTACAATATGTAACTATATCTACCAAAGCAGTGCTCCCACAGCAAAAGTACATATTGCAAAAAGTACTATTGCAAAGTATATACAGTGATGCTAAGACAGTAATCCATAACCATGTATTTGCAGGGGTTAATTTACTTCCAGTAATTATAAATAAAAATTCTGGCATTTAATAACCTTAGTTTTATGAAATTTTGGGGCCTGTTGATTGGAAATACACCTTGCAGGGGTATTACCTCTGACAGATCCTGTTACTTTGTAACAATCTTTTCTGTATCTCTTGTGAGAGCCTTAAACACAGAAAACATCTTTGCTAACTTTTTTTGGGGTCTCCTGTGGTCACTGTTACTTCTATCATTCCACTTAGTTTTGCAGCAGGAACACAACACTGTAACTACTTGAAAAATCCAAAGCACGCTAGAAAAAAGAGCTTACAATACTAATATTTTTCTAAGAGAGGTGTGTTCCTACAGACAAATTGAAAGAAGAGTGTTAGCTTGTTCTAATAAGCAGCTTCTTTCAGTGAAAAGTTTGATTTAAAAATACCAAGGTAACAAAAAAATGTCATATCTTACTCTAAATTCAGTCTTTCTCTGGAATAGAAAACAATCCAACAGCACGTATACTGGAGCGATAATGCCATCAGCTTTGATATTATGTCATCACAGGATTTCTCATAATTTAGCTCTTCCATACTCTACCATAAAATTAATATAAAAAGTAAAAATGAAAAAAATATATTACTGTAGCCATCACAAGCATTAAATGTGCATCACCATTATGTCAAAGGTAGATCAAACACAAGTACTAAATAGTACAGATATTAAAGACATGTCTAGGAGTCATGAAAATTAGGTTGTATTCCCAACTTTTATTTTTTTGACCTTTAAAAAGCTGATTCACTGCTTCATGCCTCCTTTTCCCTCCTGTAAGAAGGGAATGCTCTTACTATCTTTTTAGGATGTTCTTAAGATTTTTGAGAGCTTTAATAATGAAAAATACTGTTATAAACCTCTGAAGTACTTACCCAGTCTATACAAATCACATTATACCTATACTGAATGTATAAAGTTCAACATCGCTAATTGTGGTACCATTTGCAGTAGCATCTGGGAATGTCTATCTGTGTTGTACTGCAATACTAATTGACTGTTTTATTTTTTATCTGTCTTTCAGTAGCAGTTCTTCTACCTGTAAAGTCATCTGCCTTGCTCTATACCAGAATTTAAGTATTATATTCTTGTCTAAACTGTTACTTTTTATTAAAAACAGAACAAATTATACCCCAGACTAATTCAGGTACCTGAAATGGGATAATTTAACATGCACACTGGTATTAGTACAATCTCAGATATATTTAATTGACCATTACAATTTTCCTTTATACAACCCTATTTCCAGGTACATATCCCTTAACTATACTTAATACAGTCCAATATGAGGTTAAATGTTATAATTCTCTGAAGAAATCTAGGAATACGCATGAGAACATTTTAAACTAGTAAAACTGAACAAGAGGAAATGGCCTCAAGCTGCACCATAGGAGGATTAGACTGGACATTAGGAAGAACTTCTTCACTGAAAGGGTTGTCAAACATTAGAACAGGCTGCCCAGGGAGGTGGTGCAGTCACCATTCCTAAGTATGCTTAAAAGTTGTCTACATGTGGCAGCTGGGTATATGTCTTAGTGCTGGACTTGGCAGAGTAGGATTAATGGTTGGACTTTATGATCTTAAAGGTCTTCTGCAACCTAAGTGATTCTATGATTTGTGATTCTCTTACTGGTGCTGACAGAATTTTGGAGTTAACTCATTTGAAAATAACTTGTGTTGTGAGCCAAGACATAAATTAAGTATGACTACAAGGAAGAAAATAGGTGTTATAAAGCTGCAGATATAGCCTAGAAGTGACACAATGCATATTAGAATTTGAATACATGAGTTTTATTTGGTACCTGCAAAAAGATAGCAGTGCATTCATCTACTGTCAACACAACATATCGATTTGCACTTCCAAAGAGGCTTAAGGAGTAACTGCTGTCTCTTTCAACAAAGGTAATACTGTACCTGAAGAAGCAGAATTATTTTATTAAATCTCAGTTAAGTAAAACAATAATATTTTCTCATATTTCTATATTGCACATTGCATTTATTTTCTTCCTTTCATGGTTGTGCAGGGAAAGCAAAGTGAGTGAAAACTCCTTGACTGCCATCAGTATGATCCTAAAGTTTTCTAAGGGAATGAGAACTGCCAGCAGCACAGCCTCCTGTCACCAACTGTGCGAGCAAACTATCACTGCATGAACTTCACATGCCTCAGGGTATTCATGAGGTCCAGGCTGACTGAGGAGAGAAACTGAGAACAGACAATTGTCACACTACTGAGCCTCATCCCTAGAAAACACAGGAGACCTAAACCTGAATCTGCTAGCAGTCCTCTAGAAACTCATATCGGCAGCATAATTAGACATTAACAAAAAAAGTGAACTGTAAGCTTTTCTGAAACTATATAGCTCTTTGACCATCTATGTAATTACTTAATCAGTGCTAAAAGGAGCTAGTGAGAAAGTACCAGAAAGCATTCTTGCCTTTTTAGCTTATGTAGAGGCAGAAGAGAGAATCTGAATAGGTCAGAGTTTAAAAGTGCATGTCAAATTTTAAATGTCAAATATATACTCTTCCCGCCTCCCCCCACCCCCTTTTTTTTTCTTTTCTATTGAACTGTAATTAGACACAGCTCAAAAACAACTTCAGCTGACATGAGGATACAGCAAGGATCAAAACTGTCACGTCTCTTCAGCAACACGGTGAAGTCAACCATCTGTATCTCTGGCACTATGTTTAAGAGAGGCTGCCACTGTTCCTTATCTATCTATCTGTCTGTCTGTCTATCTATCTATTTTTCTGATAAAAGGTACTTTATCAGGTATTTATTATTGTGAAAGCAAAACACAATGAAATTATGTCAAAGAAACATGTGCAATGATTTATAAACATTGCAAATTTTGTGAAGGTTAAAGAATATCTCAAAAGGAAGTGAATATTAGATATTAATTTTATAAATATAGTAGAGTTCTTTTTTAAATTAACCTCTCCCAAAAAGCTATGGTACATCACAAAATGAGGCTGTTTTACTGTTGTTTGTTTTTGTAGCACAGATCTGGTAGTTAAAAACCAAAAAGTCCCCAAGCAATTTTTATGAAGAATTAAATACAAAGTCTTTCTAGCACTAATAAGTACCACAGCAAAAAATGTTTTGGGGGGTTGCATTATGATTTTCAAGGACAAGTAGACAATTAAAATAGTTATTTTTATTAAAAGTGTCAGTCCACCACTAAAATAAACAAATCAGCCAATTCCACTCTGGTTGACATCTGTGTGAATCTACAGAATTAAGCTATCAACTTCAGCAGAAAAAATTATCTTCTTGCTTCTGAAAGTGCTTATGGTGTAATAGCAGTAATATACCTGATAGCCAAGAAGATGGCTACTACACAATACAGTAGGACAAGAAACATGTCCTGGAAAACTGAAAATAAATAGTCAATAAGATAAATGGGTTATTTTTACTCACTTGGATTCCAAAAGCTGAAGAATATTTGGCATATTAAGAAGACCTTCAGTAGTCAGAAATACATATGGAATTTGTACTTCCAGAAGAAAGGAACCATACTTATTCCCTGAAACATTTTGTAAATGTAAGATATACATAAGCTTTCATAAGCAAAAAATGAAAGATACATTTAGGTATTTAAAGAGACATCTTAAACATGAAGCTTTTATTCATCCCCTTTAAAATGCTGCCAATATATGCTCTTCCCTTACCCCTCAGAATGGAACTCTTATAAATCTTTTTGAAAGTAAGCTTTAATTTATATTCCTTTTGATCTACAGCAACGTTCCCTTAGGATGAGGAAGGGTGGATACAGCTTGTAGTAACTGTAAACAACCTGTGAACTTGGCAAAAGTCTTTATCAACCAACATTTACTACTAGTACATCCTGGCCAAAACCAAGATCATACCCTAAGAAAAACATCTTCCTATCTTCCTGCGTAGTTAAACAGCTCTGTTTGCTTAGCTCTAGCCTTCATAACTTATTATTTATGTGAATGTGGCATTTTAGGGAACAGAAAATGTTTTGCTTTTGTATGTCAATCCAATTGTTTATTACAATTCTGGAGCACACTTACCCATGTATATAGTTTCAGGGAGGGTGGTTTTAAAAGTCATGTAAGCAACATTCAGCTTTCTACACAAACACTTCCAGCAAGAGTTTTCAGAATAATCATATTCTATTACTAATGAGAAGTGTGTCCAAGGGAAGTCAGCTCCAATTTGCTGATTATGTACAATAACACACGAATACCTACTAAGGCTTAAAAAAACAACAAAATATTAATAAAATTAAGTTCAGATAGAATAACCCTCAGAATAAAAAAACCTTTTTGCTTTGAATAAATACCACTGCTTAAAGTCTGTTTACAAAATTAATTTAGCCTTTCTGTACATAAAACTGTCATTTCTTTAAATATTAATTTAAAAAATAAAACTTGTTCTTTCCACTCTCCAATTACCTTCCTTGAAGTACTCATATGTTCCTCCTAGGACATAATCTGTCATTATTTCTCTTATGCCCTCTCTCCCCACCTTTTTCTAAAACATGCAAAACAAATGTGCTTTTCTATGTATTCTATGTATTTTTCTAAATGTTTTTTACAATATGCAACCGCCCTGAAAGTTAAAAACATGCAATTAGATGTATTCTAAGAGTTCCTGTGAAGCTTACAACTGAGCATTTTACCAGAGTGTGGACAAAGCTGTCCCCATCCAGAATGAGTCTGTAGATTCATCTTCTGAAATTTTTACTCCAGATTGGAAAGTCCCATGGAAATGAACAGAAGTACCAAAAACTTCATTGACATTAGTCCTTAGTGAAAACTTCATTCTCAGAAATGAAGAATTTAACTTACTTGATTATGATATCTTTACAACCTAAAACGGTTCCTTTGTTGTCAGAATTCAAATCCGCAGCTTTTAAACCTGCATAAAAAGAAGCAAAGCCTTAATCAAACAAATGAGCCTCTGCTGATGTGAATCAATACCCAGCAGTAAGCAGTAGATGTGGAACATCACACGACATTAAAATCTGATGCATTACATTGTTTGTCTTGATGAAGTTCTACACAATTTCATTTGTATTGCACTGATGGGTATAATGATTTCAAAATTTACTTTTTTGAACCCAAAGATGAAGTAATGTGAACAAGTTTCATGTCTTAAAAACTCAAAACCTGATTACCATAAAATGAAAAAAATTAAAAGCTAGAGCAAAAGGAATAATCTTTGCCCTTTTGTCTTTTAAATTCTTTTACACTTTCTGTATGCTTCAAGTTTTAGAAGTATGACAGAAAGATGTAGATAAAAAGGGATTACACATATGCCTCTCTTCAAAAGTTTAGTTAGTTGGATTGATCTGTGCTTGCAACCAAGGCTTAAGATCTTAAAACAGAACACATTTCATTAAATATTATTATTAGCAAAAGCACTGTGAACCTGCCTCCTCCCTTTGAAAACATTCTAAAAGACAGGGTTTCTTCTTCTAAGAGCACAGAAAACATACTTTACTTTTAAAGGCAAAAGAGTAATATACTACATGTTCAAGTAAGACAGAGTTAGAAAAATGGGTTTTAACAAAGCAATATGAAAGGAATCACTGGCTTGCTCTAAACAGAATTACAGGCTCAAATAACGATCTTCCTGGAACACGTTTGTTCTACCAACTGTGGCGTTGAACAAGTTTGTACAAAATTTAATCACATGGTGAACTGATGGAAGTGTTGCTTGCATTAGTGGGCAGCATGGATTTTGGAAACAGTATTTATTTTCCTTGAGTTTAATAGAGTGCTACAGCTTACGGTTACATATTTAGCAAATTAGCAAACATTTTCATCAACAGATGGCCAGGGGAAATAATGATCTATAACTAACTACTCATTTAAGACTTTATGCTAGGGACCCTAGTTACGACTTTTAGATTCTGACTGCTCTTAGCAAGTAGAGGAAAACTTGTGACCACCAATCAGCTAAAAGTAAAGAGACAATCTGACCAAGAAAACATGCAATTATAATTAGGCAGTGGGCTGCTCACATCTCCTTTTTGTTCTGTTAAATAAATCTTTGACTTGGCAGATGATCTGACATTCTCTTTCAACAAAAAACACCATACCAGAACTCTTAAAGGGGAAAATTAAATTACAAGAAATACAAAAGCTTGATGGAAGACCTAAGGAGCAGAAAACTGTGAGGGAATGTAGAAAGGTTCCTGATGAGGAGAAAAGGTAAAAACACCTGCAAAAAGCATAAAATGGGAATACACAGCAAAACACAGAATAACAGCCACTTTTTCTTCAAAATATGCACGCAAAAATTACTATTTACCTTCTAATCCAGATAAAGTGTGAATGAGGGCTGCTTTTTCTCTTTCAGAGTCCATTCTTGTTATGACTAGTATCTGGAAGAAAAAAAGTAAAAGCAAGTCAACCTGCATACATTTTTTTTTCCCTTTTTTTTTTCCCTTTTGCACAGAAAGCAGGAGATTGACCAAGTAGGTGGTTAGAATTGAAACTTTGGAGTTTTCTAGAATGACAGTCATAGAATCATAGAATATCTCAAGTTAGAAGGGTCCCAAATCCCTGCTCCTCACAGGAGTACCTAAAACTAAACTGAATGAATAAGAGCATCCCCCAGATGCTCCCTGAATTCTGACAGGCTTAGTGGCAAAACCACTTCCCTGAGCAGACTGTTCCAGCAACAAACCACCCTCTAGAAAACTGAAGAACCTTTTCCTAACATCCAATCTGAATTTCCCCTGAAGCAGCTTCATTCCATTTCCTCAGGTGCTATTGCTGGTCATCAAAGAAAGATCAGAACCTCCCGCTCCACTGACCCCTTGAGGAAGTTGTAGACTGTCACGAGGGCACCCCTCAACCTTCTCTTCTCCAAGCTGAACAGTCCCAGCTCTCTCAGCCTTTCTTCATAAGAGAGATGCTCCAATCCCCTAGTCATCTTTGTTGCCCTCCACTGGGCTCTCTATCAACAGAGCAGTGATACCTCTAATTCTCCTTTCGCTGTTAACATATTTTAAAAAGCCCTTTTTGTTGTTCTTCACAGTGCTGGCTGGCTTGATCTCTATTTCAGCTTTGGCATATGGGTTCTCTCCCCACAGTGGTGAACAGCATCTAGACATATTATTACATTAGAGGCATTATCCCTATGGAGGTAAAACTTAAACTGAAGATACCTAAAATTCATCCTGCAAGATTGTGAAGTACTGATGGGAGGTACTAGTTATACTGCTGAACTAATTAGAAAGATTTTCCTGCCCACAGACGTACTACACAGAAGTGTTCCTGCCAGAGATTGCCTATCTCTAAGACTCATTAAGTACTGCTTAAGTTGAAAATGTTGAAAGGATTAGAATCTATCAAATTGACATAGTCTTAAAAAGAGTTACTACCAGAGAAGATGTTTACCTTGTCCAGTATTTCAACGGACAGAAACTGAACATGCATTACATAATTCAAGTATGTAAAGAATATGTACACAGAAAGGATTTGTTCTGTACTCAGGCAGGATCATCTCTGAACATTTATGCCACTGTATAGTAATTTTTCATTTTATATCATGATAACGCCACGAGATGTGTCTGATACCTGGGTCAAGCAGAGGAAATCTATAGAGAACAAAACCCATCTGCTCCATTGTGTGAGTGCTTGGAGCCACACTGTAAAAGAACACAATCCTGACTTGTGCTGTGATTCTCTTTGCACTTGAGCCCATCAAGTAACAAGTTATAATATAGTTTTCAGTAAGTGATGTGACATGATACTCTTACCAGGGAAACAAAACCACCTGCAACAAGATGGAGCTCTGGCAACTCATATGCATATTATTTCGGTCATGGGGAGACTGATCAAGGGGAGATCTGATCAAACAGAAGCCTGCACTGCTGCTAATGGAGGTCCTAAACTTTATGTTATCCCTATTTAACAGAGACTGTGAGTTGGAAAGGCAATTACTAGTCTTCCGTAAACCAGCCCTTGTTGAAAGACAGTTTCAAAATTATTCACATAGTTTGGAGCAGTTCTGTTTGCTTGGAGCAACTGTTTATATTATTAACCTTAACACTGTGTTCCTTTCCATGACTCTGCACCCAATTTAACATTTGACACTGAAGCTCTGTTATTCTGGGATTTGTTTCATTCTTTTTCTGGCTGCTGTACTGTACAATCTTCAGCCGCCTCCAGATGTTATTCAAACAGGATTCTAAGATGTTTTTATAGATATCCTTTGCCTTTGACAAGTAACCTGTTAATAAAGCAACAAAAGAAGTAATTGCAATGTCAAAAGAGAGCTGCTAAAGTTTGTGTTTAATCTACACACAAATTTAAACTTTTTGAACAAGATACCTACACATAAATTTAAAAGAAATGTGAAGGTATCTTGCTCAAAAATTACGAAAACCTAATGGTTCAAAAATGTGAAAGCACAGTATTGCTACAAATCAGGTACATAAGTTGCCTTCGTAACTCATGCAGTATCTGCTATATGACTCCTCCTAAAATTACAGAACATTGCATTCTATAGGTGCAGATACCACCACCTGCACTGTTGTATTTAACTAGTCTATATGGTTTGTAACAACTTTACTTATATTCCCACTGTCCAAAGCTTTATTTTTCCTGTGTTTTTACCACTCTTCATATTATCACAACTATTTCTCAACTCCAGGTGATGTCTTTTATATATAAATAGTGAACAATGCTAGGGTTATTTGAAAATGCATTTAAAAAAAATAATCTACAGTAACTATGTGATGAATCACACAGCACAGCACAACATCACTACAACAGTGAAGACTCCAAGGCCTACTTTATATCTGGCTCAATTTTCTAAGTTATTTTCAGATCTTTTTTACTTGTGCAGCTTCCTGTGTAAGGTGCAGCTGGGCTTTGGAATGACAAGGGCTGTGTAATTCTGAAATAGCTTTTGCTACAACCGAACAGAGGAACAACAACTGCTCATTTGTCTCCCTCCCATCCTCCTACATTATTTATAACAACTTAAGAAAATAATTCTAATAATTATTCTAGTTATATATTAATTCTGTATTTTTCTTCCTACTCTTTTATTGCTAGAGGTATTTAGGGGAATACAAAATAATTTCTATCATCTCCCACAGTTCTGCCTAAGGCAGATGTTTTCCATTTTACATCCATTTTAAGGAAACACTCTCCACAAAGTGTTAATTCAGAGTAACTGAAGTTAGAAGCTAACTTATCTGCTACAAAGAAAGAAGGAGACTGACTTTTCCAGGGCACTCCAAAGCTAACTCCAGCTCCTTATGAATTCATTCCTATGGACCTATCTGAAAATTCACAGGATACAACTGTGGGAACTTAACAAACATGGCATTATCATTTAATGCAAAAAAATGGGTAATGATATATTTTCATATTCCAAATCTCAACAGCATAAGACCAGAAAAGCTCAAAAAGTGCTTCTGTGTTCAAACTCCCTGCCTTGTCGTATTTTAGATAATATTTCAGATTTTGCTTAAAATGTCCTCAGTTTTAAGTACCTAATTTCCAAGGAACCTAAGAATATATTTAGGTGAAACTTATCCCACACTCACAATAGGTGAATTGTAAACAACAAAAGACCTGCCATTTTTGCATGTTTCTGTTTCCACACAGAAATGTCAATGATAATTTGTGATTCTGAGATAACAAGACAATACATTATATAGATGGAAGTTCATATGAATGTTTCTGAGGCAAATCCATGTAATAACATAAACAGATATATACTAGTCATGAGCTGAGCCTATACACTACCAAAGCTCAATGATTGCTTTGATTCATTTCAGCAAATACATTTCTAATGATGGAACAGAAAGAAGGAAGCAAAGGGGGTTGAATATCATATTGAAGATACTGATGGCGAAGAACCACAGACTACAAACATGAAGGACGGACTGCAGAATACACACGTTGGGTTTCTGGGTATCATTATTCACCACTAAATACTAACCTACTGCTGTGTCCAAGCCACATGTTAAAAGAAGATCTCGAACTGTCACTAGCAGGTGCACCAGAGCAGCATGTCTGAACAGCATGATCTCCTTCTCATCTATTGTACCTTTACAAATGGAAGACACAGATGTAGTCCTCATAAGATTTTAGAAATCACACTATACATATATAATCAATGTAAAAGGTCCTGGTAGCTCAGAAGTTTCATGAAACACAACTCAGACATAATTTGTAAAGTCAGATCTGGTGGCCCTGGCAAATAGCTTACAATGCAGCATAACTTTCCCTATCATCTGACTCAAGTGGCACACAGGGAAGACTTTTTGTAAGGTGTGCAGGGATAGATGGTGTGTGATTGAGGAGGGGATAACAGTTTCCAAAGGTGTGCCATAAAATTAACACTGCCTTACTGATTTTAGTAAGGCAATCTTTAAATATTCACAGGAACTGATAAATTTCTCATCTTTTGGTCCATTGTGCAAGCCTAGCCATTCACATTACTATTTCTTCATCTGACTAGTCAAATCACTGCATTTTTCAACTGCACTGTAACTCGAACATAATTTCCCAAACTTTTCAGAATTCTTTCCAATCAAAATGACAGATTATCCACTGATCAATGCAATTTTAAAGTGGTGATAACTTCAGACCAAGCTTTTCACAGAATCTTTTCAACAAGGTGTTGGATTGATCTCCAGATGGAGGGATTAAAGAGAAAATGAATCAGCATACTTTGGAGTAAAGCTTAAATATTGTGAAACTACACAGAATTAGGAAGGCAATAAAAGCGTGAAGAAAATTACCAGGGAGGTTTTGGAATCTCCTGTATAGTCAGATAAATACTCATTAGGAATGGATTGTATGTGTTTAAGTCTTCCTCATTTCTAACAAGGGATCACATGCTGTCATTCTGCAGATGCTACTAACTTTTTTTTTTGTTCGCTTTCTCTTTAATTTGTAATTTCATTTTCTTTTGAGAAAAATAGATTCAGCATAAAATGCAATTAGGTTTACATACATAAAGTTTATCACATAATTTGTGACATAATACCAAAAAATGGCAAGCCATAGATAGCCTGCAGTGTTATGCTTACAACTAGCTCTCAACTATTAGCAGTAAACCTCAAAATATAATCCAAAATATCCAATAGCTTTCTAAATCTTCCTCAAACACAACCTGAATTTTGCTGTGAGGTTTCCTGACCTGCTTTTTATCTATAGCCAAAAATCTTCGTAAGAGGTCACTAATTTTGCTAACTTTTGTTTCCTTTTTTTTGGTTCTACAGGGTTTTCACATACCACATAGGAGGGAAATGAAGTCAGGAAGGAAGTCAGGAAGGAAGTCAGGAAGTCAGGAAGTCAGGAAGTCAGGAAGTCAGGAAGTCAGGAAGGAAGTCAGGAAGTCAGGAAGGAAGGAAGGAAGTCAGGAAGTCAGGAAGGAAGTCAGGAAGGAAGTCAGGAAGTCAGGAAGTCAGGAAGTCAGGAAGTCAGGAAGTCAGGAAGTCAGGAAGTAAGGAAGGAAGGAAGGAAGGAAGGAAGGAAGGAAGGAAGGAAGGAAGGAAGGAAGGAAGGAAGGAAGGAAGGGAGGAAGGAAGGAAGGAAGGAAGGAAGGAAGGGAGGAAGGGAGGAAGGGAGGAAGGGAGGAAGGAAGGAAGGAAGGACATAGACTGTTATTAATTTAAACATCTAGCATGAAAAAATATATTTAAATATTGTTTGAAGTATAAGTAATACTTTTGAAGCATGACTAACGCATTTTAAAATGAAATTAAATTAGAATATTTTTTCTTTTACAATATGGAGGTTAATAAATGTAATGCTGAAGAATTAAGATACATTATTTTTGGAAATAAAGGAGGAAATCAATTACTCTACAAGATAAACTTTTCAAAGATTTATCATTAACTTATCAAACAACTTGAACCAATTAAACTCTTATTAGTATTAAAAAAAGAAAAAAAAAGACATACCTTCATTGAAATGATTGCATATTACTTTCTCTTGCTGCTTTAAGAAAAATCTTGTATCATCAAATTTAATGCTGTCAAAGCTCCAATTTACAGAAGCAAGTACACCCAGATGTGTCAAATCTTTTAGAACAGGTGTGGCTCCTTCTTCCAAGAGGCAGTATGCCTGCCATTGGCTTTCTGGACAGCAAAATAAACAAGATGTAATAATAAATTCTGGTTTGATATACTAGTATAGGACAAGAATATTCAAAAGACCTAGCAAAACACAAACAATTTCAACATCTTCATGAAAACTGTAACATTAGTAGAAAAACAGTTGCTTGCCAGGATGCCTCCTGGGTGATAGAATTAAGCTGATTGTCAGAGATGATAATGTTATTCCACGCTTTTCATAAAGTGAAAGAGAAAAAAATGCAGAATAACAACTTAAGGGTATTGAATGGCATGAAGATATTTCATCTCCACTGCTTTAGATCAGATACAATTAAAAGGTTTTTAGTTTGCATGCAATTGGCTTTAGTCTTAAGACAGAATCCATATCCTGCTCTCTCACTTGTGTCAATATAAATATCCATCTATTTGGAATAAATGAGGCAGAGACTCCTCTCAGCCAGTTCACTGATGAACCAAAGTGGAAGGGGTGGCTGACACACCACAGGGCTGTGCTACCATCCAGCATGACATGGACAGGCTGGAGAGCCAGGCAGGGACAGACTTGATGAAATTCAACAAGGGCAAGTGTAAAGTCTTGCATGTGGGGAGAAACAACCCCATGTATCAGTACAGATTGGGGGCTGATCTGCTAGAGAGCAGGTCTGGGGAGAAGGTACCCAGGGTCCTGGACAACAGGCTAGCCATGAGCTAACAATGTGCCCTCATGGCCAAGAAGGCCAATGCCATCCTGGGGTGCTTTAAGAAGAGTGTGGCCAATAGGTTGGGCTTGTGCCAATGGGCACAATCTGGAGCATAGGAGGTTCAAATTAAATATAAGGAAAAACTTCTTTACTCTGAGGGTAACAGAACACTGGAACAGGCTGCCCAGAGAGGTTTTGGAGTCATCTTCTCTGGAATAATTAAAAACCTGTCTGAACACATTCCTGCGTAACCTACTCCAGGTGATCCTACTCTATCACAGGGGTTGGACTAGATGATCTTCAGACGTCCCTTCCAACCCTGATGACCACAACTCTATGACTATGACTAAGACTGGTAATATCCACATTTGTCTAAGTAGTACTATTTAATACAAAATTATATTGCAAATGTATACACAGTAAAGCATATCCAAAGATAACATACCTGATGCTTGAACATCAACTGTGACACTGCCCTCATTCTCTTGTTCTTTTTCCTCTGTTCTTACAGTCTCACAAACAGAACTGTCCTCTTTGTGAATATGCATATGCTGTTCTTCAGATTGTAGCACTAAATCATTAAACCACAATGAACATTTAGATACAGTATCACAAAACTGGCTCACTGAAGATGAAAACTGTTCTGTAAATTACACTACACGCAAAAATATTTTTAAACTAGGTAGCTTCTATGACATAGATTTTCTTTTAATGAACTTCTTTATTCTTTTCATGGGTTCATATAGATGGAAAAAAACCTTGAGAGAGAGAGAGACATGAGGCACTGTCAGTCTTCACTGCCCAAGAAGTCTGATTTTATCAGGTTCCTTTTCTTTAGGGCAGAAATACAGAGCTGGGAAAATTAAGGAGCTGGTACTATAGCTCAATAACAGAGCTTCATAGGAAAACTCATATGCCTTTATATGGAGAAAAAACAAGTACGTGAGGAAAGATGCTGCTGAATGTAAGCAGCTCAAACTACTAAAAATATATTGTGTAAGTAGAAAAAGCTAGATAATGTAAGTAACCTAAAAAGAACATGGAAGCTGAAAAATGGCAAAAAAAAAAATATTTAAAAAAATTATTGAAAAGAACTTTTTCTTCTGTCTTATAGCTATCTTGTGCAATTTGTTACTATTTCCAAGTTTCCTCTGCTTCTTCTTTATAAACACTGATGCATGAGCTACAGCTTCTGTCCACAAAGCTTCCTTCGGCAGCTGTACCTCTTTATTTCTGACTGTGGTTCTGGCAGAATAGGCATATCCTAAATATGCCTCATTTTTTCTAGTTAAGAATGTAAATTTCCTCAGAAAATAAACTGATCATAGAGACAGAAAGAAAATATTTTTTTTCCTAGTTAAGTTAAAATAACTTTCCTAATTTTGAAAAGCTGTAAGTTCAAAATTGGATCGATGTACTATTTCTACACAACTACATCTTTAAAAAAGACTAGAAAGAAGTCAATATAGAAAGAGCTCTACAAGAAGTGCTGATATTTATTGATTTCAGTTAAATTTACGATTATCCTTAATAAAAACTTTTAGTTATTATGAAAAGTACCCAGTAATTTAGAAAATTTCTGCATAAATGCCATAAGAACTATATAATTAAATGAGTTCTTTTGATATCAGGCACAACTGAACTAGGGTCTGCCTGTAAACATTTTCTAAATTGGTTTTAACTGAAACCTCTGCATCTAGCTTGTCTTTCAATAAATCCGGGTTCCTCGTTAGGAGATGCAGTTCTAGTAAGAGTTCACTAGATGGTAGCATAAAACTTCAGTTCAGGAGCCTTAAGGTCCTACTTTTAAAAGAGGCATTGTTGATTTCTGAGGCCGCAAGAGTATTTTAAAGCATGTCTACCAAGAAGTAATTTCCTCCACAAGATTACATAGTCTTGCAACTAAATAAATATCCCAATTCTATACTGTAGGAAATACTGCTGGAAGCTTTGATGTAACCTGGTTGGGCTTTGTTGTTGTTGTTTTGTTTGGTTGGTTTTGTTTTTGGTTTTGCTTTGTTTTATTCTGCCATACAGGTCCAAAAATCGAAAATATATTCCTTTTTAATACAACTTTATCCTGAAAAGTGAATCTGGAAATATGTCAATGTCTATTACTATTTTGTCACATTTATTTTTTTAAACAAATAAGCATTTTCTTATGCTTCTTTTCCCTTTCTGCTATTTTGCATTTCTGCAATACTCAACACATAGCCTGACATTCTTTCATAAGCATTGTTATCAATAAGAACAGGGCTACCAACAACTTTCTGTTTTCCTTAACACCTGTTCTGCCTCATTGCTTGATGGGGTTTGCACCATGGTAACTTTCCCAAATGGTTCTTTCCAGAGAACTTTAACTCTTGTTTGTTATGTAGGCTACACTGCTTCCACAAAAGTAGGAATATTGATAATAACTATTTGATAGCAAGGACAGGTAGCCTGGAAGGAATACAGAGAAATTGTCTGAGCAACCAGGGATCAGGTAAGGAAAGTTAAAAGTCCTGGTAGAATTAAATATGGCCAGGGACATCAAAGGTAATCAGAAAAGCTTCTACAGGTATGTTGGTGATAAAAGGAAGACTAGGGAAATTGTGGGCTCCTCCTGAAGGAAATGGGAGACCTGGAGGCCTGGTTATTTGGGATATGGAGAAGGCTCAGGTACTCAACAAGTTTTTTGTCTCAGTCTTCACTCACAAGGGCTCAGGTGACATCACCCAAGGCAGCAAAGGCCCCCAGGAGAATCACAGAATCTTAGGGTTGGAAAAGGCCTTGAAAGATCATCTAGTTCAACCCTCCTGCCAGAGCAGGATCACCCAGAGCACATCACACAGGAACGTGTCCAGGTGTGTTTTGAATGTCCCCAGGGAAGGAGACTCCACAGCCTCTCTGGGCAGCCTGTTCCAGGGCTCTGTCACTCTCACAGTAAAGAAGTTTTTTCTGATATTTACACGGAACCTCTTATGCTCCAGTTTGTACCCATTGCCCCTTGCGCTATCACTGGACATCACTGAAAAAAGCCTGGCTCCATCCTTCTGACACTCGCCCTTAGTGTATTTGCAAACATTGATGAGGTCACCTCTCAGTCTCCCTCCAAGCTAAAGAGACCCAGCTCCCTCAGCCTTTCCTCATAAGGGAGACATTCCATTCCCTTCATCATCTTTGTGGCTCTGCGCTGGACTCTTTCAAGCAGTTCCCTGTTCTTCTTGAACTGAGGGCCGAGCCATCCATGACCACATTCCAGTCATGTGAGCTGTCCCACCACACCTCTGTAACTGCCAGCAGATCATAACCCTTAGACCTCACACAGACCTCTAACTCCTCCAGTTTATTCCCCATGCTGTGTGCATTGGTGTCCAGGCATTTCAGGGAGTGAGATGAGCATGTGGGTAGCACCTTTGGGAGGCAGAAGGCCTTCTGGTCTTCATTAATACTTGAAAAATGCCCCACTAGTTCAAACCCAGCTACAACCCCCTTCCACTTTGAATCTAGCTTAAATCTGTGAATGAGCCCTGCTAACTCCTGCCCTAGGACCCTTTGTCCCCTGTGGGACAGGAAGAAGGGTCACCCACAGTAGGGGTATATCAGGTTTGAGACCATCTAAAGACCTGAAAGTGCTCAAGTCCAGGGGTCCTGATGAGCTACATCCACAGGTCCTGAGTGAACTGGTAGATGAAGCTGCTAAGACACTACTCATCATATTTGAAAAGTCCTGGCAGTTCAGTGAAGTTCCTACAGACTGGGAAAGGGGAAACATAACCCCATTTTCAAAAAAGGGAAGGAAAGAAGACCCAGGGAACTACAGGCCAGTCAGTCTCACCTCTGTGCCCAACAAGATCATGGAGCAGAACCTCCTGGAAACTCTGCTAAGGCACATGGAAAATAAGGACATGACTGGTGACTGCCAACATGACTTCACTAGGGGCAAATCCTGCCTGACTAGTTTGGTGGCCTTCTACAATGGATTCAGACCATTGGTGGATAAGGGAAGAGAAACTGACATCACCTACCTGGACTTGTGCAAAACATTTGACACTGTCCCACACAACATCCTTGCCTCTAAATTGGAGAAACATGAACATGATGGATGGACCTCTCGGTGGATAAGGAATTGGCTTGATGGTTACACTCAAAGAGTTGTGGTCAATGGCTCAATGTCCAAGTGGAGATCAGTGACAACTGGTGTACCTCAGGGCCTCAGAATGGGACAAGTTTTATTTAACATCTTTGTCAGGGACATGGACAGTGAGATTGATGCATCCTCAGCAAGTTTGCATGACACCGAACTGTGTAGTGATGTTGACACACTGAAGGGAAGAGATGCCATCCAGAGTGACCCTGACAGGCTTGAGAGGAGGGCATGTACAAACTGCATTAAGTTCAACAAGGCCAAGTACAAGGACTTGTACTTGGGTCAGGGCAATCCCAAGCACAAATGCAGGTTGGGTGGAGAATGGATAGAGAACAGTCCCAAGGAGGACTTGGGGATCTTGGCTGATGAGAAGCTTAGCATGAGTCAGCAATGTGCACTTGCAGCCCACAAAATCAACCATGTACTGGGCTGCATTAAAGGAAGCATGGGCAGAAGGTCAAGGGAGGTGATTCTCTGCTTCTGCTCCACTCTCATGATATCATACCTGGCGTACTGTGTCCAGTTCTGGAGTCCTCAACACAAGAAGGACAGGGACCTGTTGGAGCAAGTCCAGAGGAGGGCCACAAAGATGATCTGAGCAATGGAGCACCTCTGCGGTGAAGACAGACTGAGAGAGTTGGGGTTGTTCAGCCTGGAGAAGGGAAGGCTCCAGCAAGACCTTATGGTGGCCTTCCAGTACCTGAACGGGCTACAGAAAAGCTGGGGAGGGGCTTTTTACAAGGGCTTGTAATGATAGGACAAGGGGGAATGTTTCAAACTGAAAGATGGCACTTTTAGGTTAGACGTTAGGAAAAAATTCTTCACTGTGAGGGTTGTGAGATGCTGGAACAGGTTGCGCAGAGAAGTTGTGAATGCTCCCTCCCTGGAAGTGTTCAAGGCCAGGTTGGATGGGGGTTTGAGTAACCTGATCTAGTGGGATCATGCAGGGAGTTTGGAACTCGATGATCATTCAGGTCCTTTCCAACTCAATCCATTCTATGATGCTATGACAACAATTGATTAACTGGCCATAGAGGCCAGGATATCTGATTCAAAATACATGGAGAGAAGAGATCCTCTGTACTAAGTACCATTTAGAGTTACTTTGTTGGAATAGGAATAAAGTAATATATTTATTTTATTAAAAATTACTTCCACCACCAGAAAACCCACAAGGCATCTTCTCCAAAGGAAACAAAGAAAATCACCTTATATCTAAAGGAAAAAATAAAAGGCAAGATTCTTAGCTGAAAATTCAGCTACATTAAAGATCACTAACACATTACAATACACTTAGAAGGATTTTTTTTCTGAGAAATCTACTAGCATGAACTTGCATATATTGTAACTGGTAGAAGACAGCAGAACTAAACCTGAAAAAATAGAATAAACTGGTTCACGTACCTTTTTCAGGACTATCTACATAACATTTCCCCTCTCCTTGGGTGAGTATATGTTTAGATCTCAGCATGATAAAGTTGCTCAGATCAGAATCATCGTACCATTTTGTAGCAAGTGCAAAAGATGCAGGCTTTTGATAGCTTGTTGAGTCATCTTGTTTAACTGATACATCTTCACAGCTGACAGATTCAGATGATTTGGGGATTTTCTTTTCTTGGTTTAAAAAATAAATTGCCTCTTCCACCTTATTTTTTTTAATACTTCCTCCAGTAGGCTCTTCTACAGATCTATTTACACTGTGAATTTTGGCAGATGGTGGAGCTCTCATTTGCAGGGCAAAGTGATGCCTTTGAGTATGTGGTGATGTGTCAAGATTAATTACTTTCTCCAGCTGATGTCTTTCAGCAGAAAGCAGCTCCTGGTTTGTTATGGAATTATTCTCTTCAAGCCAATCTGAAAAACAAAATTTAATTTCTCTGCTGCAAAATAGATGTTTTTCTTTTCTCCCTCCTGGTTGGAATGAACTGTTTTGGATAATTATAGAGAATACATTTTAAAATTTACTCTTTCTCCCTTTCCAGATCATTAGAATCTACTTTTATAAAATTTGTACTGATTAGTCCTAAGTAATAATCTACAATATTGAGGAAACAAAGCCCATGCTACTGCTGTTTGGAGAAATTTTCACTATCTGCATGTTGCTTACTGGTGTTAAGACTTCTAGGAAGTGGGATGACACACATTGCATTAGGAAGAAAGATTCAAAGATTAACAGTTGTTTTTGTTTGTTTGTTTTTGTTTGCTTGTTTGTTTGTTTAAGAGAAAAAGGAAAAAAATTAGATGTAGTAAGGCATGCAATTAGCCACCTCTAAAGATATGCCTCAGTAGCACTCCAATTTTTTGTTTCTTCTGCACATCCCTGTTAAACACAGTAACTAAACACTTTGTGGTATGTAAAAAGCAACTAAGTGAAAACATTCTTTCATGAGCAGTGTCTATTTGGTTCAAAATCATACTACTGTCAATCGTTGGAGTTCTACAACCACAACTGATGCCTTGCAATTCGGCCACAGGTATACAATAAGGTAATTAACTTTGCATTTTCTGTTGAAGTTCAATTACAAGTATGCATAGTTCCATGAGAAATTCGAAAGTTTATGAACAGTTCACATTTGAAACCACAGCCAGCATAAAAAACCCTCTGAGCAGCATCACAAAATAAGGAGCTTTCACTGTAACGTATCCTCCCCAATGACCTTCTGCAGATAGGACTGCAAATTTCTGCTCAATTAAAATTTTCCAATGCAAAATTTCTCATTGTTAATAAATTCTCCTGTGTGAAACCACTTCATTAAAAAAACATGTGGCTGGTGGAGGCTACTTTTCATCTGCACATTAACAGAAAAGACAACTTTGTATACTTAAACCCTTTTGTTCCTACATGTTCTAAGTGTGTGAAAGTAAACAATCATAATAGTGTTGCTACTTCATAGTGCTATCAAATATTTTGTTCTTGAGAATAAAAATATTCCATCTCATTCCTTTTTGGAGATATGTAACTGTCATTCTGTGAGTCTCTGTTAAAGTATCTCTCTTTGTCCATTAATCTCTTTTTGTTAAAAAGAAGATACTTACTTTCTAACTGATCTGATGTAAATTTTGGGAATGTTTCTACTTCTGTAGGAAGCAAATTGTTTGCGTTACTGGCATCCACATTTAATTGCTCCAAAATCTCTATGGAGACTGGATTTAATCCCAAATGAAGCCACCAGCCCTCCTCCTCCGGTGAGCTAAGCATTGGTGCTTCTACCACAACTGGTAGCATTTCCTTCAGCTCTGTAAGGGAATGATGCTGATATGCAAGCTTAACAGTCTGATGCTCTAGAAAAACAGAAATGAACATATACTATTATTAAACTAGAAACACCAAAACAGAATGTCATTTTGTAAATGAAAGCTCCTGAGAACTGATAACCTACATGTATCGATTCTTTATACTTCCATTTGTAACTCACTGTCAACTAGTAGACTTAAACATAAAGCAGTTAGAGTTATCAAAGCAAGTATGCTTTTTACTTATTCAGGAGACAAGTGGGGGTGGGGGGTGTATAATTTTTTTTTAATCTAATAATAACTAAAGTTACAAATTATTTTTTCATTATCTGTGAATTTACTTGTCATGCTTACAAAGATTTAACATAATCCTTACCTGAAAATATAAATAACTTAAAAAATAATGAGCCTATCATACATTATTTGCAAGTATAAATCAATGTACAAATGAATTATGTAGAACATAAGAAGCCCACATAAATAACTTAATGTTGAGACTTGTAAAATGAAGGCAACAATGGTAATGAGTATTTTGGTGCTGCCAGAAATTACCTGGTTTTGTATATTTTGCTTCCTAACATGAACTCTGCTCTTGTCAAGTTACAATATTATTTTCCATTAACAATATTTTTCTATTGATACACATTTTGAAACATTATTCGAGGAAAAACAGCACACAGAAAAGACATCAACAGATTACCAAATTTCAGTTACCACAGTTACTGAATATATTTAGTAGTAGCCGAACATTTTCATAATGACACAAAACTCTGACTTCATTCAAACTGACTCCATAGAAGGATACAAGACACATCAACTTCTAAGTTGTCAAACTATAACTTTCTATATGGACTAAAAGAATCTGAGTGAGGGTTACATTAATTGGATAAACTCCATTGGCTCAAAATACATGCTCTATAATAGATAACTTATTTTTGCTATATTTTCTCCATATGCATGGACCTCTTCAATATCAATATCAATGCCAATAAAAAATTGATTATCAACTAGAAATCCTTACCGACAAGCAAAAGAGAGTTCATATTATCCTGATACTTCTCTGATTGCCACACCAAAGATTCTAAGTGTTTCCTAGAGGGCTCTGTAATCAAAATACTAAGAACATAAACCAATACTTAGAGGTATGAAGTTCAAAAGCATTATCATTTCAATTAGATTTATACAAAACTATTTTCAGATCTGCTTTCTCTGTAAATGTTCAGTTCATTCATTCACTCATTGATTAACATTTTGTCCAGGTAGAAGAACTCCTTCCCTTAGTAACAGAGCTCTGGGAGGAAGCAAGTAGGTTGAGAAGTATCAGGAAGTGCAAGACTGAGACAGACAACTGGCACTGCAACCTGCCTTCCCACAGACAGGCCTGTCAAGCAGACAGGACTCAGGATATGGAGGATTCCTCATCCTCTCTCTGTCTGGCTGAACACAGTGACTTAAGGGATAGAGGCAACAGCAGTTAAGTTCCTGCTCTGTGCAGCGAACGTGTTTCCTCCATGACCAACCCACCTTCCTGGGTGGCCCTGGCACAGGTATGAGGCTCTGCAAGAGCAACGAGACAATGACAAGGACAATGGTTTATCCAGGCTGGAAGTGTCACCAAGGTTAAGTCAGCCCTATGTCCTGTGTGAAAACTGCTTTCACAAAGGAAAAAGATGGGTCATTGTCGCTGGAGGCTTCCTAGGGAAGGGAGTCTGCCCAATATGCAGACTGGACCCACTTCTTAGGGAAGCTGCTGCCTCCCTGGGGCCTGGGTTTAAGACATGCAGAAAACTTCTTATTCTGGTATGGCCCTTGGATTATTAACCACTCCTGATTTTTCAGGTAGGCAGCAATGAAATTGCACCAAGAGTCTGAGAGCAACCAGGAAAGACTTCAGAGCCTTGAGATGACTGGCTAAGGAGTCAGGAACACAAGCAGTATTCTCCATCCTTAAGAGTTGCAGGGAATTATGAGGGAAGAAATGGGAAGAAACAGCAGATTAATATCTGGCTCCAAGCCTGATGTCATTGGTAGGATTTTGGGCTTTTTGATCATAGAATCATCAAGGTTGGGAAAGACTTTCAAGATCATCAAGTCCAACCATCCACCCTACAACCACTAACCACTAATCCCATCTCCCAAAACACCATGTCCACCCGTTTTTTAACACCCACACAGACAGTGTCTCTACCACATCCCTGGGCAGCCTGTTCCAATGCCTCACCACTCTCTCTGTGAAGAAATTTTTCCTTTTCCAATGCCTTTCCAAGAAGACCAAGAGCTTCCTGACTTGTATCAGGAATAGTGCGGCCAGCAGGAGTAGAGAGGTGACTGTCACCCTGTACTCAGCACTGGTGAGGTTGCACCACAAATCTTGTGTTCAGTTCTCACTACAAGAAAGATATGGAGGTGCTGGAGTGAGTCCATAGAGGGGCAACAAAGCTGGTGAAGGGTCTGCAGATCAAATCTTATAAGGAGAGGCTGAGCGAACTGGGGGTGTTTAGTCTGGAGAGAAGGAGGCTGAGGGGAGACCTAATCACCCTCGACAACTGCCTGAAATGAGGTTAGAGGGGGATGGGGGTTTGTCTTGTCTCCCTGGTAACAAGCAACAGAATAAGAGGAAATGGCCTTGAGCTGTACCACGGAGGTTTAGACTGGATATCAGGAAAAATTTCTTCACTGAAAGGCTTGTCAGACACTGAAGCAGGCAGCCCAGGGAAGTGGTCGAGTCACCACCCCTGGATGTATTTAAAAGACAAGTAGCTGCGGTGTTTAGGGACATGGTTTAGTGATGGACTTGGCAGTGCTGCATTAACAGTTGGATTCATTGGCCTTTATGATCTCTTTTAACTTAAATGATTCTATGATTTTTTTTCTGGTCCATATAAAGGGTTACTTCAAGCAACACCACAGTGAATAGGACAGAAAGAGAGGAGCCATCAAAGCTGGTTCACAACATAAAGTGGCACTGAATTATTAGTCCGTTGTTGTAGTTCACTCCTGAAAAGGATATTTAAATTATTGCATATGAAAGACAGATAGCAAGGCAAAAAATGCTAGTCTTGAAAACAAGATGAGAATGAAATGATGAAGCAACCCTGATTCTACGTCAGCAGAAACGACTTAAATTCCAGTATTGGGGGATATCCCCAAAATACAGACAATACTTTCTTCCCATCTCTCTTCTGGAGATGTTTTAGGTGATACTTGCTCAACATATGCATATGCCATATGTATAAATACATACATACACACACATACATACTTACTATACACATAAATATTAACTGTTGCCTACTGCAAAAAGGAGATTGGATTTTCAGGCCATTAAGTCCCCTTGAGAAAGAGGTCTACAGTAGCAACAATAATTTCTTTTTTCAAGCTCCCTTGAAAAGCCACATATGTGGATCACACATTCTGTTCACTTTTACATGCAAAACAAAAATATATGCAGCTCTCTCAAAGAATATTACTACTACTGCACAAATACACTAAAGTTAAATTCGCACTACTTTTGAGGACTTACGATTTAAAGGATTTATAACTATAAAGTTTTCATTACCTGTTAGTAGAAAGATGAATAGGCTCTTCTTGAAGTTCTGTGCCCAGAAAATTAACCCATGATCTTTGTTTTCTGTACGGAGGAGTTAAAGGTACTTCCATTTCGTCTTTCACATAGGGAATATATTTAGCTGCAAATGGCAAAAAGCCCCACACAAAACAAACAAACAAAAAATCTAAAATACAAAGCTATTTGTGAATGAAACACATATACTTAGCAATTTTACAGTTGTGAAGTTTTTTATTAAAATACAGAATATTTTCATGGGGCAATTCACTAGATAAGCAATAAACCTCAAATTGCGGAATAATAGCATCATAGAATGGTTTGAGTTGGAAAGGACCTTAAAGATCATCTAGTTCCAACCCCCTTGCATGGGCAGGGACACCTCCCACTAGACCAAGTTGCTCAGGGCCTCATCCAACCTGGCCTTCATCTCTTCTTGCAATGGGGTTTTCACAAATTCCCTGGGCGACCTGTGTCAGTGTCTCACCACCTTCGTAGTGAAGAATCTCATCCTAATGTCTAACCCGAATCCCCTCCTCTTCAGTTTAAAACCATCGCCTCTTGTCCTCTCACTACAAGCTCTTGTAAAAAGTCCCTCCCCAGCTTTCATGCACCCCCTTCAGCTACTGGAAGGTTGCTGTGAGCTGTCTCTCCTCCAGGCTGAAGAGCCTCAACTTTCTCAGCCTGTTTTCATAGCAGACATGCTCCAGTCCTCAGATCATCTTTGTGGCCCTCTTCTGGACTTGGTCCAACAGGTCCACGTCCTTCTTATGTTGGGGGCTCCAGAACTGGACACAGTACTGTGGGTGGGATCTCACAAGAACCAGGTAAAGGGGGAGACACACATTTCTTTACTCATTCTGTAATGTAGCTCTGGCTAAATACTCTTCACTTATAAGATGATTTTGAGGATTAAATCACAAGGTACTATGGTTGAGGTTTTGATATTAAGTGCTCATCCTTTATTGCCTTCTCACATAAATTAACTTAATTAGACAGGAGAGCGACTTGAGACAATATTGTGGCTGTAACATTCAGATGAATGGACTCAAGAACTTCAGAAACTGTCACAATTTTAAAGACAAAATTACTCTCTGAAGCAGAATTAATATTCATTGTAATTTCTAGCGATGACCACTGAAATGAATTACAACACCACTTCTCTTAGAGCAGTACACAAACAAATCCAGTGTGTCAGAAGTCCCCTGCAAATCGCTTCTTATATCCTTTTTTTTTTTTTGTCAATCATATTAAACATGGACATTTTTATGTATTATTCAAATCTAATTTATTAAAATCTAATAAGGAATTTGGAACTTTATTGATTTTGGTGTAATTCCATAAAATCTGGCGCTTTACACCAGTTGCCCTAGTATTAATCTCTCTGGCATTCTTCTAATATTATTTCTCACTAAGCTTGGTCAGAAAGTGAAGGTCACAAAAAACACAGCTCCTCCATGTTCTGTGAAAACTAACAGCCAGATCTTACAGATCTGAGTATAACCTAAAAAAAAAAAAAGGAAAAAAATACATGGAAGCCATCCATGCCCCAGTGATTGCATCTTTCCTGATTCAATGGCAGAGCTAAGCCAGCAAACAGGCAATAAAATTAATGTCATCATTTTCTTTTAAAAACAACTCAAGATGGTTTAACTACTCATCCATTTTGGAGGAATGAACAATATCCTAGATAAGCTCACAGTCAACTTGTTATTACTGTATGCAGGATGAGGATCTGAAACTGCTCAGCTCTACAGCACTTAAGCTCCTCCTGCTTATCATAAGCTTTAGAAGTAAAGAGCAGTCAGATTACAGTTAATCATCCTAGGCAATAATTTCCAGATGGAAACTAAGTTTAACTTTGTCTTGGTGTGACAAATACGGTGTGTTTGCCTTAAGCATTTACATCAGACACTGAGTCTGATGTGATTGCTTCCACCAAAGCAATACAATATGAGGAGTGTGACGTTATTAGCCTGCAGGGAAAAACAATCAGTTCAATTTAAATTATATTGTAACTAAGACAAGCAGTGTGGTCTTGCCCTGAGAAAACTCAAAATGTCTCAAGTGTTTTAGTAAGTGCTGGAAGGAAAACTATCAAATGAACATGCACTGGAACACAACACTGCTACCGTGTTAAGGGATAGATTTCTTCCAAGATAGGATATAAATTAGGATAAGAGGTACATGTTCATTCAGCATTACCACTTTGTCCAGACTCTGCAGAGGTTTCACTGTATGAAATTAAAGGTGAAAAAAAGATATGGACATCACTCGCAGACAAGAGCAACATGAAGCAACTGTGAAGTTGGTTGTGTTTAACTTTAAAACTCTTGAAAGGAGTATGGCACTTCTACCTGCTTATGGCGCAGGTACAAAATAGTAGATTATATTATATCTATATGGTGCATGTCGTCCCAAGAAGATATGCATAATACAAAAACAATCACTTGAATAATTAATTTTACAAGTCACCCCTTGATTTATTTACCTCTTCCTACCTGACTCACAGAATTCCAACGCACTTCCGCTATTACTGAAGCAAACCTCTTGTGGCATGGGACAGTACTTGGAAATTTCTATTTTGTACGTAATTTCAGCTTTGAGATCTGAAATATTTTTAAAGGTGCTATAGATGAACCATTTATTCCTTTTTCCTGGCAGAGTATTTTTTCTCTTAATATTTTTATTGATTCCTCATAACATACTGTTCTGAAAAACTACAGCTGTGCATAGTAACCCCAAATTCCATAGCTAATCAGAGCAGTACTTAGTGTCATCCCTTAGACGTGCCAGAAAAAAAATATACAACATTATACGATCACTCTCTGATCTAAGTTCTTAAGCCTACAGTGATGTGATTTCTGGAAGAAATAGGTAGCTTACATGCAGTTTAGCAGGTGTTTGTGTATGGAGTGGAGGTTGGGTCATTCATCTTGAAGCATGGCATGTTGGCTGTGATGTACTAAATGCATCAGAGGAATGTACATGGAATGCCTTTCTCCAATATATGCTTTAAAAAGTTTTGTTTCTATCTTCAATAAGAGACTGCGTTACTCCAAACTGCTGTCCCAGCAGAAACAGAATTTTGCACGACCTCCACGCTCAGAAGCATGAATTTTGCTTCTTTTAGCTGCTGCTTCCTGTCCAGTAAAGAAGTGGTTTTCCTCACTGGTTTGACAAAACCAATGCAAACTGGTTTTTAAAATAAAAATTTAAGAATCTCAGGTACTGCTTTTTTCTCTTAACTACACAAAATACTACCAGAGATATCGGTAAAATAGCCAATAACTGTCATTAATGTTGCACTTCTCTGTAGTATAAAAGCATTTAGTAACTACTCGTTAGCTCCTTTAAAGAAATTACTATTATAATTTAAAATATTCTTATTATCCATGGAAATATTTAACCCTCTCTTCCCAGAAATCTGCTTTAATGTTTGAAATCATAATGTAATACGAGAAAATTTTATTGTATGACTGTACTGCATCTAAGCCTCTTAAGGATGTCTCTGAAAGTAAATTTAACTACTGATTAGAAAAGTTAACACTAAATAACTATATTAATGGTAGACTGGATACAATGAATCATGGCCTGTGCTAAATTTGTGTCCAAGATTACAATACAACTCTGGATTGAACCAAACAGCAAATAGTTTACTTCTTTTTGGCTACTTGAGGAAACATTTTTACTACTCACAAATTTCCATATGGCACAGTTTAAGTTTATAGTCTCATACAGAAAAATTCACATTTGGTAGGCTGTGATGGAATTAAGTGAAGTTAATAGAACTAGATGGTGATAAATGTGTGCAAATGAATGCAAAATTAGTTCAAGCATTTACAGAAAACAGCCCTCACCTTCTCTGATCAGCTTTTTGCACATGTCTTCATCAGCCATAGTTTCTGGAGCTAAATGTAACAACTCTTTCAGTTCCAAGTATGATGGAATCTTAACAGAATCTGATCTGTCTTTACTGGGTTTGCAGAATTCTAACTCAATAGGCAACATGAAATACTGAAAAATATTAATCACAACAGAATAGTATGTAAATTTCCTTTGATGTTACAGTCAAAGTTCAAAATCTTGAAATAGCTTAATACTAAGCCAATAAAACAGTTTTTAAGAAAGAAGTCATATGACATTTAAACAGCATAAACAAAGGTTTGCTCAAAGCAGAGGGAAAAAAATAGTGTTACCATATTTCAAATGGAGTCAGTGGAGTATAAGAAGTGAATCTGAACTTATTCCCAATCAAGCAAAATCCTCATTTATTTAACTGAAATGTTTAGGGTTTTTTCAGAATTTTGAAAAATGGAGAAAAATAGTCTTTACTGCTTTTAAAAACAGAATCCAAGCTGTGCCCAAAAATTCCAGAATGTGTCTTGAAATTTTCCCTCTCCCATGCATGTCATGGCTTCCTGTTTTGGTTAATTTTTACTTGTAGAGTAACAGTGCCTACATAAAATTGCCAACACATCAGGTTCCAGGAGAAACAGATAATCAGAGTGGAGATTCCCAACAACACAAATCACATATAATACCAGTGTTTTCTAGCCTTATAAATATGAAGGTTACAAATATTTGGCAAGTATAAAAAACATTCAGTAAAATGACTTGCAGATGAACAAACTCTTATGCAAAACACAAAAAAATAATATGATGTTGACTGAGAAACAATATGATGATACCTCTTCATCTTTTACAGATATAGTACAGAAGTTCTCTTTAATCTCCCACATTTCTTTTTTACTCTCTTGCATCTCCATTCCGTTCTGTAAATTCAAACATTCCCTTCAAAAGATCATAAAGCAAGTTACTTCTTTGTATGACTTCATATCACAGTATCACAGTATCACTCTGGTTGGAAAAGACCTTCAAGATCATCAAGTCCAAACACTACCCTAACTCTGTCATGTCCACCACTAAACCCTGTCCCCTGGCACCACATCTGTCTTTTTTTAGATGTCTTGAGGGATGGTGGGTCAACCATCTCCTCTGACAGCCTGGATTACCAAGTCCAACTCCTGCCCCAGAAAAGGACAATCCCAAAGTTCACACCATGTCCCTGAGGATGTTGTCCAAATGCTTCTTGACTGAAAGTCTTAGCAATAGCTTTGAAAGCCATATATGCAGGAAAAGTTATTTTTCTAAATAACTTGCTTTTCTAAAAAAGCAATTCCAAAGGATGCTGTACCAATCTGTGTAATTACATGAAATAATATTTCAATAAATAATACATTATATGCAGAGTAGAACCACTTCATATTAGGACTTACTTTAAAAAAAAGTTACAGAAACCCCTCTTCCATATCGAAATTGTTAATAATCCCAACACATAAATCCCGTCACGTAAAAATGCCTTCTGCAAAAGATGCAAACGTAATTTTCTTCTAAGGTCAAGTTCTTCTGCTACATACAAAACCTCGGCAATCTCAAATGTTGACATTATTTATCTTTTGCCACTTTTCATTTCTACTTTCAGGAAGCATTCAGCATCAAAGAAGGCAGAGTGTACTCACTATTCATTAAAATGTAAACTAAAAATATTTTCCCTGGTTTAACTGAAAAACTTCTAAAATGCCAAAAAGTAAAACTCAGAAGTGAGGCTACTACTTGTTTTCTAAAGCAAGGATACAAGCAGAACAGTGATGAAGATCTTCCAAGTAGAATTAAAACTATTTATCAGGTTTGTCCCTCATGGCTGTTACAGGCACTAAATCCATAATGAATTTTTAGGGGGAAAGAATCATAGAATCATGAATGTTGGAAAAGACCATCAAGATCATCAAGTCCAATTGTCTGCCTTAAAACACCTAACCACTGAACCATCTCCTGAAACACCACTTCCACCTCTTTTTTGAACACCTCCAGGGCCAGTGCATCCACCACCTCCCTGGGCAGCCTGTTCCAGTTCCTCACCACTCTGAAGAAATTTTTCCTAATATCCAATTTGAAGCTCCCCTGGTGCAGCTTGACCCCATTTCTTCTTGTCCTATCACTGGTCACTAGGGAGAAGAGGCCAACACCCACCTCACTACAACTTCCTATCAGGTAGTTGTAGAGAGCAATGCAATCTCCCCTCAGCCTCTTCTTCTCCAGGCTGAACAGCCCCAGCTCCCTCAGCCTCTTCCTCATAAGACCTGTTCTCCAAGGTATCCTCTAAGGAGGACAGTCTCCCCATCAGTCACTGACACCACTACTTTCCTGGAGGAATACTTTAGACTGAAGAATAGAACTGTTCCACACCTAGCCAGGTGCTCACTGACTTTTATCTTAAGTAGAGGTCTGTCTAATTGTAGCTCTCTGTTGAAATGCATCTCCATGTGTGCTCCACTGGATTTGGACTCCCTGCTTGAGAAGGCTGGTGGATTTGCTAGTAAACTGCAGATCAGCAGGTCAGAGTTCTTTTCATAAAGGTTCGCACTAGCATTTTTTTCTCTTGTGACTAATATTCCCAAAACTCTTTGCAGAATTTGAATAATGTTCTCTTCACTGGATATGTACAGTACTCATATGTGCACATAGTCTCATGTTTAAGAGTCACTGCAAGATCAGGGCTCATGTTTGAAAAAAAGGCAAACAACCCCACTCCTCTCTGGTCTGCTACTCTATAGGTACAGTTAAATCAGTTAAAATCTGTTCTTCCTTGCTTATGTGTCATGCAACCCTGTCAATTGCAAAGGAAGCTACACACAGGTCATCCAAACATGGAGTAAATTTGTGCAAATATTTAGCCAGACTTTTGGAATGTATTTACAAAATACCAGGCACATTCTGAATATAACTTCTACCTGTTTTTAAATAACAGATTCTTCAAATTCATGACAACAGACAGCATTCATTTAAATTCAATCAACCTAGCAATATGCAAGTAAGCAAAAACATAAGAATAATGCATATTTCAACTTAGAATCATAGAATCATTAAGGATGGAAAGGACCTTAAAGATCATCAAGTTCCAATCCCCCTGCCATGAGCAGGGAACCCTACCACTAGACTAGGTTGCACAACTTGAAGAAACACAATTCAGTGGGGTAAGAGCATGGATTTGCTGACAGCATGACTGAGGAGAGAAAGAAGGTACATGAAAGCATGTGTAAAATCTGGGCCAAACTAAGTTTAGTGGCATATTACTGATAGGAAATCAGTCAGTCTGAGGGAGGAACAGGTCCCTTAAAGACAGATGTTTTTTCAGTATTCCAAAATTACATTCCAGAGCACATTTCACATTTACAGAATGTAAAAATGACATAATTTAATTTACCTATTTTCTTATATAGTGCATATACATTTCATCACACTCATTTTTTCATAAGTAAGAAGAAAAGCTCATGTTTACTTATTGCAAATGTTAAGTAGTTAAAAAGTTAACACACCATGGATGACGTTAAAATGTTAATGGCATTTCTCATAGACTATTATTTATGTTAAATATTATACGACAATTTGTAGATACCTGAAGGTGTTCTCTTCTCTTAAACTCTGTCCTTCAGAATCTAAAAGTGGATCTTTCACTAAAAAAAACTGTAGTCTGCTCAAAAATACAGATGAAGTGGGCAGCTTTTTACGAAAATTTTCAAGATGATCAATAAAAATTATTTCCTCTTCTATATATAAATCTGAAGAAAATATAAAAAATACATTAGCAATAAAACCTAAGAATTATCAGAGTAATATGAATTGTTGAGTAACTGTTGGAACGCTATATATGTCAGCAAGACTGACTATTTTTTACTTTTAATATTTTACAATTTTAAAGCTTTATATGCAACAAAGTTTAGCCTTCCAACATTTCATGCTATAAGCTTTGGTCTTCTTTTGCTTTGTCTTTTGTCTTAGACAACATCTGTTAATAAGAATGGTTACTTCCTCTTCATTCCCTTTTTTTCAATGTAAAATATGACAAAGGAACTTTTGAGGCAGGTTTTGGTTGGGAAACATATTTTAGTCTCATTTTTAATGTAGAAATGAGGCAGTCTCTCTATACACATCAAAACCTAAATGTCTCAATCTGAAGCAACAAAAAAGCAGTTTAGAGAAGGAGAAGACCAACAATAAAGGGTACAAAAAGTAACAGCTAAGACATGGGAAAGTACCTGAATTATTTTTTTTCTCTTTGTTAGCATGAAATATAGAAAGCTTTTTTAATTACTGAAACTTTCTGCCATATGCCACCTACCTTTGGAAAAAAATTGGTAATTACTTAATCAGATGAACTAATATAACTGCCTTTCAATTATAACTGCCACGAACGTCCATTGTTGACAGTGTGTTCCTTATAAATGTTATCTTGTACAACATTGTACCAAGAACCACCTGCCTCCTCTATGTGTGGAAAAAAGCTCTTAGTAAATTATTACATTACTTCCCTTTTCTAAGGTAATATAATTGACAGATAAACAAAAACCCCCTATCTTCACCCCAGGAACTGCTTGCTTCTTTCCCTCCTTAACACGGTAAAAGAACATGCCACAGGGATCTAATTTTATTAAAGGTAAAAACAACCATTAGTATTTTGATCAATGCCTGAGACGATCTACATATGGTAATATTTTTTGTCATCTTTTGTAATATATTTGAACAGCCTGAAACTTATTTTGGCTTGCAACCACCTTGAACTGCTAAGATAATCCCCTTCTTCTCCAGGGAATAAATATCTATTTAATGGTTACAACTTCTGCAATTGCAAAGGCTGCGATCACCCAAATGATCTCTTCCATGCCTATGGATCATGGAGAAAAAATTATGGAAGTTAACAAGCTGACTCCACAAGAAGTTAGAAAACAGTGAATTAAACACTCTACCTTGCCACTGCTCTTTAAATTCAGGGGCCAAATCAATCTTCAAATATTTTTCTTGGATGTATTCTTCCTCAAAAGCATTCTTTGTAATCAAAAAAGGGCCTTCTTCTAAGTCAGTCTGAGAGCAGGGATTTGAACTTGGAACAATTTCTATTAATTCATTATTTACAAGGAACCCTAGAGAAGAGATAGGTTTCCTAAAAAGCAGAAAAAAAAAATCTTATACTTAAGCTGTTGAAAAAACACTGTAAAGACTTCTCTGACTCCTCAGTCACTCAAACAGCGGTAAAAAGATACTCTAAGAACTTTGATACCCACTATATTCACTGAAGATTGGAAATTACAGAGTTATTATCACTATTCGCTAGACTCACAGTCAAATTACATGGTTAATTCTTCCCCAATTAAAAAAAAAAAAAAGTTTACCTCTAGCATTATATTGAAAAGAAGGACAATGGCTAGAAAAAAATGCATCAAAGCTACACATGTAATTATATTTATTACATAAATTTGTTATTAGGTTGCATGTATAACTGTGTTTGAAAAACCATGCAGAAATTGCAAGTACAGCAGTAAGTGCAATAGGGGAAAGACAGCATAAATGAAGAAACAAACCCACTTAACCTTCCTGTCACTTTTCATACAAATCTCAATACGTCTAGTGTTTCTCAGAAATACCCATCCTGGCTTGTCAAATAAACCCCAAAACTATTTGAATACAAAAAAAAAAACCCACCATATTTTTTAGTTAATTATGCATCTGGACAAAATATTTGTAATAATTAAAATATGGTCATTTTAATGCCATGTTATCCATGTTAATTGGCTGGAACAATGAACTGATTGATGGGTAGTGACACTGCTGAAGAACCACAATATTTTGCTCGTCCATACTTACTAATATTGTAATTTCAGAAAACTGATTTCTCAACTACGCATCCTATTGATTTATTCAGTTTTTTAATAATCTCTTGCATTACGTAATCTTGCTATTTACTGGCCATCTGGAGGTAAATCTCATAAATGGAATCAGTATGTGAGTACACCTCTGAATTTTGGTATGGCCCTTCCTGTTAGGCATCAATAACTGATGAATCTCTACTACACAACTCTAAGAAAATCAACTATTTTACAACACAGTATAACTCAAAAGGTAATTTTGAAACTACAAGTGGTATAGTCACAAGCAGTAACTATGAAGTATTGGTAATAGCTATTGTTCAAACTTGAACACAGCATAAGTTTTTGAAGATCCATGAAACTTAAGAACACTGTGTCAAGTTACACATGGGCCACTTTCACTGGTTTTCCTAGAGTTTCACAGATAGATCACGCTTGAAGTAGGTCACTGGTTTGAGATTACATGGGCCAGCCTTCTCCAGGGTCAACCCTTTACTAAGGCTGTTCTGGAAAAGGCTAGGTATTTTAAATGACAGAAAACTCTAAGTTGGGCAACACATGTTGAAGTCATACAGCTATGCTTGTACAGTGTTTTGAGCACAGAAGGCACTGCATTAGAATTAACATATTTAGCTTCAATTAGACCATTACAATATAAATCAGAATTTTCAGTAATATCTTTGAAGTACAGACAGTTTAGTCCTGTCATAGAAATACATGTGGCAATTAAGTGCATGTACTAAAGCTAGTTAGGGGGGTTATCCAATTAAGTAATTTGGCAGTTTCTAGAAATTATAGACTCACTTCCTTATCTTTTTTCCTGTCAGGTGTCTTTTCTCACAAACACATCCTTTCCTCCTTGCTCCTTATTTTCTAGTCTCATTCCAATCAATTTTTCATTGGCACACAGCCTAAGGGCCCTTCATTTTAAAATACATTAAGTGAAATAATTTCAGATTTTCTGTAAGCGGAATGTAATACAGGCACTGATTTCCTAAGATTTATCCAGATGTTATGACTAACTTCAATGCTAAAACAACAGGTAAAGGAAATGCTGCTTGGTTCCATTTAGCTTCCGCATCCTTGGCATTTCCTATTCCTTGAAACAGCATCAAAGTGATTCTTGAATTGCTCACTGTTGATACCTAAGTCACACTGTGTAACAGCTTCTTTGGGAATGATTTTTTTCTGTTACTGTTTTTAGTCTAGAGAATGTCTTTTCATGTTTGGTCACAGGTTCTGCAGCATCTTCATAACATTTATTACTATCTGAAGGTGCAAAGATGATTTTATTGAATATAATAGCCTCATTTTTTTTTCCTGAATATGCAGAATGTAATTCCAATTGTTCTGCAGCAAAGCTTTCAGCATTAGTCTGAACATATAGTCCAGGGTTATTATAAGGCTGAATAATTTCAGATATTATTAATTTTGTAATTACTTTTTGTGCTAAAATGTCACAATCTATTTAGTTTTATTTTAAAAAGTAGCAGCATACTCATTACATTGATAGGTGATGGACTGAATTAAAACCTGAAAATACAATAAAATGCTTTCAGATCACAAAATAACAACATGGTTGAGGGTGGAAAGCACTTCTAGAGGTTATCTAGTCCAATCCCAGTTAAGCTATTAAAATGCAAGTCTCCAAAATATCATTTCCTGGTTTGTTTTGACATCCCAAACAAAAACTACATTTTATTAAATTTTATTTTTCTATTTCTGTGGTCTAATAAAACTTTTGCAACTTTGAAAAACTGTTCCTTTAAAAAATATTATTCAATTTTTAATATTTTTCTATTTTTGTGTTCAGAAGTTGAAATTAGAATCAGCCTAATTTTCACACAATGGTCATTCTTTATAACACACATAAGTAGGGGAGAGTTGGGGCTTCAGTTCCAAAATTTGAGAAGTACTCAGACACTTCTTCACTTATTACCACAATCCTGAGGTCAACAAGCAAAATGACTGCAACATCTGTTAGTTACCTGAACCCTAGAGAGACATGAACTGTGAAGAGATCAATGGCTGTTACCTTACAGACTGCACTTCCCATCAAACCAAGAAAGGAATACAAGCATCACAAGGAAACTGACTCAATTGTCCTAATAAGCCTTATAAATATTTATCTCACTATTGGGTTTAGAAGGTTAAGACTAGTACTATGGATCTAAAGGACCAAAGCTGAGAATGTTTTCTTTAACTGGACTCAGTTAAAAAACTGGCACTATGTTATGCCCTACCAGCTACTGTATCTGGTAAAGATGTAATAATTATTTTTTTTTTCAAATCTTCTTATTGACCGATTAAGGAATATTGTTCAATGCTATTATGTTCTTTATATTGAGCATATGGCTGTAGGCCCTTTAACAAAACCCAAGCTGAATACACATGTATGATCTTGGATAGTTCTAATTGCATTGTGAGAAAGTTAGAAAATGAAGTCATTAATATTCACAACATTCCCATCAAAATGGTCATATCATGATCTACATTCGCTAAAACACAACCAAGATACTAGTACTGGGTGCCAGTTTAAGACATCAAACTCCTAGTCTTTGAAAGCATTTGGTAGTTTTCCATGTTAAAGCACCAGTACTATCCAATCAGCTTCAGTTATGAGTACTCATTTTTTCAGATCTGCCAGAAAATAAGAGGAGCACGTTCAGTGAATAACTGCAGAGTTTTTGGTGCAAATTACTTGCCCAAAATCAGACAGGAGTTCTCACAAAGCCAAAACTAAATTAGATACCAAGGCAGTGTTCAATGTCTTAAACCAAGCTCCAGGAATTACATGGTATCAAAAAACCATCTAAAGGTTTCCAGACTTTATTATGATTATTAAATAATGATCCAAGGTCTCAGACTTAATGGGAGACTGGGCTGCAGCAATCACAACACGGTCAAATTCAGGATCCTTAGGGCACTGAGGAAGGAGCAAAGCAAGCTCACTACATCTGACTTCAAGGGAGCAGATTTTGGTTTCTTCAAGGATCTGCTTGGTAGGGAACCATGGGACAAAGCCCTGGAGGGAAGGGGAGCCCAGGAAATCTGGTCCATATTCAGGGATCATCTCCTTCATGTCCATGAGCTATGTGTCCCAATGAAGAGGAAGGCAGACAGGTGTGCCAGGAGGCCTGTATGGATGAGTTTCTGGACACAGTTAAATTGAAAACAATGTATACAGAGAGAGGAAGCAGGGCCAGGTATCCTGGGAGGAGTACAGTCAAGTTGTCAGAGAAACAAGGAGTTAAGTAAGGAAGGCCAAAGCACAGCTGAGGTTGGACTTGGCCATGGATGTTAAGAACAAAACGAAGAGTTTCTACAAGTATATCAGGAGTAAGAGGAAGATGAGGGAAACTGTGGGCCCACTTCAGAAGGCACTGGAGAGCTTGCCATGCAGGACACAGAGAAGGCTGAGGTATTCAACTACTACGTTGCCTCAGTCTTCAGGCCAAAAAGCCAACTGTGTCCTGGGCTGCATCAAAAGGAGTGTGGCCAGCAGATCAAGGGAGGTGAATCTTCCCCTTTACTTGGCTCTTGTAAGATCCCACCCACAGTACTGTGTCCAGTTCTGGAGCCCCCAACATAAGAAGGACATGGACCTGTTGGAGCAAGTCCAGAGGAGGGCCACAAAGATGATCAGAGGGCTAGACCATCTCTGCTACGAAAATAAGGCTTTGGGGAGACCTCAGAGCAGCCTTCCAGTACCTGAAGGGCCTAAAGGAAAGATGGGGAGGGACTTCTTACAAGAGCTTGTAGTGAGAGGACAAGGGATAATGGTTTTAAACTGAAAGACAAGGAGATTCAGGTTACACATTAGGAGGAAATTCTTCACTATGAAGGCAGTTAGACACAGGCACAGGTTGCCCAGGGAAGTTCTGGAAACCCCATTCCAGGAAGAGCTGAAGGCCAGGTTAGATGAGGCTCTGAGCAACCTGGTCTAGTGGGAAGTGCCCTTGTCCATGCAGGGGGTTTAAAGATGATCTTTAAGGTCCCTTCCAACTCAAATAATTCCATGATTCTATGAATTACAGAGAAGAACACCAAGAGAGTTTACAGCACTTTCAAATAAAGGAGAATGTTTTTTCTTCCAGAAAAATTCCTGTTGTATGCTTCTCAGTTGAATTTTTTTCTCCTCCAGTAACTATGTTTTTTGAGAGCTTAGCAGTTCCTTTTCAAGCAATAACACTTCTAAAAGAAAAGCATTTTTTCACTCCTAAACAGAGGCAGAATTTCACAGCCAGTGACATGATTCAGTGCACAGCCCTGATCCACTCTAAGAGCATGATTGTTCCTGTGCCATGAATGAGCAGAAGGTTATGCTGAAAAAATAGTACATAGAAATGCAGTTAGAGACTGTATCAGTGAAATCACAGAAGAGTGCCACTGTAAGGTACTGTAAGAGTGCCACTGTAAGCCTTATGGTGGCATTTTCTGTACACGATTACTTAATTCTGCAACTACAAGTTTTCTTCAAAAGAATTTTTTAACACAAATTTGAACGTAACAGATTTTAGATGGCTTGTAAAACAACAAATAAAATTCCTTTATTTCTTTCACACCAACTATTGAGAGCAGAAATACACACTATTTACTGGTCTCACTGAACCATAATTTCCTTTCATACTGTAAGTATGCTGTAAAGGCTGTGCTGCAAAGCCATTTTTAAAATTGAACTCCATTTCAGGGTTCAATACATTCAGATTTTATACATATAATTTAAAAATACATCCACCTTCAATTGCTATAATGCAAGTCTGACTTTTTCTAGCTGGCTTT